ATTATTTCAAATATCAGTATTCAATGTTTTATGTTTAATATATCAAAACATTATTTATGCATTTGTAACTGCAGGCTAAAGCATTCCATGTCCCTCTAAGCTGCATTAACGTGTAAATACATCTATGCCACTTCATATGCAACTTCTGCAAAGATTAATTTTATTGATTCTGATTTAATTTGTTTAGTAACAGCCTAAATGTATTATAATTGACTGATTAAATGTAAATTTGACTCAAAAGATGTACACTTTTAGAAAAAAAAAAACGCTTTATAAAAAAGGTAAGAATGCCCATAAAAGTTAAAAATCAATTTAAACTTATTGGAAAAGATTAATTTATATCACTGCTGTGAACTGACCCCCACACAGAATATGAAGAATATCAAAAACTTTAGGAGTCAGCTGTCCACGGTAGTCCTTAAGATATCAGCACAACTCAGCAAAATATCATCTAATTATCTTTGATACAATCACAGAAAATATTGAGATTTTGTCAATATCCCACACCCCTAGTACTGACAAAATTATTTGCAAAGGTCACTTTGTCACACCCAGTGTAGACAGCCTCAAACCGTTGGTGTATTTCTGTCTTTTTTTTGGCTAGTAGACGTTATAAATGGCCGGTAACTTAATTTAGTAGCCAAATTGGCTAGTGAGTGAAAGTTAATTTCAATCCCTGAGACCGGACGTGGTCTCACGGACACAAACTCGTCAGTTCTGATCTTAGACAGAGGATGCAGGGTAAATATCTACCTTTAAGTTTGCTGCGCTCTGCTTGCGCCAACAAAAAGCATAGTTTTGTATATTCACGAAAACTGCAACTTACTAAGGCAGTGATAGTCAGAAATCGAAAAGGTCTCAAATGATGTGCCCCGTGCTCCATTCATTCAGCCTTTTGTATGATCTATCCTGAACACAGATTTGTGGTAATACTAGACTCCACTTTAATCTACTAGAAATAATTTCAGAGTAAGTCAGAATAAATTCAAATGTAACAATTTATTATCAGTCAGGTCAATATGTATTATGCCAATTACATAGTCAATTCAAAGATATCAAACAATACAAGACATCAAATTCTCAAAGATAAATCTAAGAGAAAAGGATGCATCCCTGTCTACAGGACTAGTAGACGTTATAAATGGCCGGTAACTTAATTTAGTAGCCAAATTGGCTAGTGAGTGAAAGTTAATTTCAATCCCTGAGACCGGACGTGGTCTCACGGACACAAACTCGTCAGTTCTGATCTTAGACAGAGGATGCAGGGTAAATATCTACCTTTAAGTTTGCTGCGCTCTGCTTGCGCCAACAAAAAGCATAGTTTTGTATATTCACGAAAACTGCAACTTACTAAGGCAGTGATAGTCAGACATTTTTAAGGATGATTTCAATGATTTAAGGATAATGCAGAATTAATCAAATATAATATTTTATTTTATTTGTCAGGTGAAAATGTATCATGCCAATTACATAATTAAACAATTAGAAGCCACTTTAAAATTAAATTCAGTACCAATTCAGATAAATACATAACATCAATTGCTTAGATGAATCTTAAGAGTGAGAGATGCATACCTGACAGCAGAGAGAGACACAGCAGCATGGGAGTTCTAGTACAGAGCTCCAGAGACTCACACACTGTGTGGGGGGTTTTCTGGTTACAGAATCCCAAAGTAGTGTTTTGCCACTTCGCATGTGTCACGGAATGCAAGGAGAAAACAAGGTTAGATCCAATTGCAGTAGTTTATTAAAGTAACAAAAACAAAACAGAACCAAAACTAAACAAAAGGTAACTTCAAAAACAGGGACCAGAAAACACAACGTAACCTCAAACAATACTGCAGCAAAGACAGACAGTGAGAGCATGGTATATGTAGTGATGAGATGAGTAAATTACCAACAGGTGATAATGATCAGAACAAAACGACAAAGCAAAGGACTATGGGAAACGGAGTTCAAAACATGTAACAGAAACAGGAAGAGTGCCCTCAAGTGGCCAGTCCAGGGCACAACAACCAGACCCGCAAAGACAGACAGTGAGAGCATGGTATAAGTAGTGATGAAATGATGAGTAAATTACCAACAGGTGATAATGATCAGAACAAAACGACAAAGCAAAGGACTATGGGAAACGGAGTTCAAAACATGCAACACAGAAACAGGAAGAGCACCCTCAAGTGGCCAGTCCAGGGCACCACAACCAGACACTGTGACATTACCCCACCTCTACGGAGTGGATACCAGACACTCCACCAGAACACACAAAAGTTCAGGAGGGAGGTGTAATTGAGGCAGACCAGGGGGAGGGACAGCGGGCCAGGACCATACAATGGAAGGGGGCCAGGGGACAGAGGTAGACCAGGGCATGAGCACAGAACCGGCAGGGTGAAAGGCCAAGGCGGGGCCGGCAGGATGAACCAGCAAGGCCCCAACCACACAGGAATCCCAGCAGATAGCCAGGATGGAGCCGGGGGAATGGGCCCGTAATAATTGCTGTTAATAGTGTTCATCGTCTGTTTGATTACGTCTTTAATTGATTTTTCTGTACAGTTCTGCCATATGTACATTAACTGACAGTCACCACTGATAAGCTATACCACTAAATATTGTAGAAACAATTTGCTGTAAAGTTGCTTTGCAGCGATTTGTATCGTGAAAAGCGCTGTACAAATAAACTTGAATTGAATTGAAAGCAAATGGTTATCAAAGATCTTTATTGGGGCATCTCCCACATCAGAAGAACAGGTTTTGTTTTTTTTATTCTTGCCTGTTCTGTTGATGTGAGAGTGAAACCACCTTCCAGTCGCACCTGAAGTATTTATACTCACCACAAATAAAACAGCTTGAAACAATAGATTTGTGAAATTTGCATGACTGACTGAGACCTGAGGGGAAGGAAAGGGTCTGAGGAGTCAGGAACTCAGCATAGGGCGGGGGAATAGATGAGATTGGGCCAGCTGTTGTTCTGTCCTTTTTCTATCTAATCTGTAATCTGTTTCTATTTAATCTACTAATCTGAAGCCTATCCTCTCTTCAGATTAGTGAGTTTTATTGTTTTATTACAGGATAGGAATCTTGAATTCAGTTTTGGTAAAATTCATCCTTACAATTTCATTGGATTGTTAATATCCAACATGCCTTTTTATTCAGATTGAATTAAATTATTACATTTAAGAATCTGACATAAGAGGACAGATATGACATCTATACATCTCTGGCTTTTTTTGCTCAGTGTTATTTTAGGGTTTTGATCTATCGACTGAGAGAACACATTCTGTTTATTGTGTTATAATTACTATTTAATATTGCATCTAAAATTTGACTAGGCTAGACATGTTGCACATTAATTGTACTGTATATATATATATATATATATATATATATATATATATAAACCTCAAAGCATATTTCAATATTTGTGTTTTTGTGTTACTCCATAATGATGTTCTAGTTGAGGGCATTTGTAGTGTATAGGTATAGGGCCCAAACATAACCTCAAGCCCAGGGGCCCCCGGCTCCCTAAGTCATGCCCTGGTGCTTTTACAGAATCGTGAACTCTACCCCTGACATGTCAAAAGCTGAAGTGGATGAATCCATGGAGAAAGCCCTGCAGGTCTGGGCCAATGTCACTCCTCTGAGATTCACCCGTATCTACAAAGGCACAGCTGACATCATGATCTCCTTTGCTACAAGTTGTAAGTTGTCTATCTATCTGTGTTTATATTTTGTTGAATTCTTTTCAGTTGAATTAATTGTAACTGATGATAAGTGCAGACCAATTAGTCCCCATGTACCGTCATTACAATAATATAAAATTGTTCAATAAAATAATTATTGCAGTTAGTGCAGTGAATATTTGGGTGAAATCCAAGTATCACAATGCCTTAATCTATTCTGTTATCTCAAGGCCATGTATGTTATGATGTTCATAAAATGGCACAGGTTTATCTAAGAGAAAATAATAACGAAGATTGAATTCAGTGAAAGCATTTGAATTTTTCTGGAAAACTGTTCGGGAAAAGTTTAGCTGAGTCTGCTTACAGAACCAAAAGCGTGCGGCATGCATGTCTGCACGATCACGTGAAGGGATCTTCTATTGAACACTAAATATAAAACTAAACCCTTTCCTACAGATCATGGTGATGCTTCCCCATTTGATGGACCATTAGGCACATTGGCTCATGCTTTTGCTCCTTCTCTTGGAATCGGTGGAGATGCACATTTCGATGATGATGAGTTTTTCACATTCCGCTCATCTAAAGGTGAGTTTTACTAAATGTAGTTTTCAGAAGTTCTTAATTTTAGTAGTGCATTGAACTCATTACTGCAGATTGTAACTTTAGCACCACTTACATTTTACTCCAAAATGTATTCATTTTTTAATTGTACCTAAACAGTCATGCTTAATTTCTCCACAGGAATTGTCCTGTTCTTGGTGGCCGCCCATGAGTTTGGTCACTCTTTGGGTCTTTCTCATTCCGACGTTCCTGGCGCTCTGATGTTTCCCACATACAGCTTTACTGATCCGGATCATTTCTCTCTGTCCAGTGATGACATCAGAGGGATTCAGTCGCTCTATGGTAAGCATATGGTCTTCAAGAGCACATCAACAATCTTTAAGTCGAAAATATTCAGTCATTTGTTTAATATGTGGTATTTCCTTCAGGCCCAAACAGCGACATAACCCCCATCCAACCTCATCCAGAAGTACCAACAACTCCTAAGGCCTGTGACCCTAATCTGATCTTGGATGCAGCTACAACTCTAAGGGGTGAAACAATGTTCTTCAAGGACGGGTAATACACAAATCAAATAAAAATTGAGTGTATTTTTATATAAATAGACCTAAAATATTTAAATCAAGTGACTTCATGTCTCTCTCTTCAGCTTTTTCTGGCGTAGATCTCCGAGCAGAACTGTGACGCAACTTCCGATCAAGAGTTTCTGGGCCAGCGCTCCGGATAATATAGATGCTGCTTATGAGGATCCAGTGCAAGATAAACTTTTCCTATTCAAAGGTATCTTCTCAAACAATCTGGGAATGCTGGAACCACAATCACCCTTACAATCTCTATATCTGTGCACAGAAAAACTCTTATTGTAGTCTGTCTTTGTTTACAGGTAAACAAGTCTGGGCGTTTAATGGCAGCAATCTTGAGCGCAGCAATTAACTAATTAACTTAATGACGATGTATGTATTTAATGAAATTACAGGCCCCATGAGGCATTAAGATAAGCTGTCAAACATTTTGAACAAATTTTAGCAATCTAACCCGACAAATTTGTAGTAGCCTATTGTCATTCCATCTTAGTCCAGTTCAAGTCGAAGTGTTGACTAAACTTAAAATTAATATTAATTATTCCATACACTTAGGGTTCTTTTTTTTTTTTTTTTTGGGAAATGCATGCATCCCATCAACAGTACAGTGGATGAAACTTATCCCCTCGGTAGATGAAAGTCACCAAAAAGAGGATAAATCAAAAGCAGAGGCAGGGAATACAAAACCTAAAATCCTTCTGAAGCGGGCCCATTCAGCAGTTGCGTCAGAGGTGAAGTCATCGACAACACAAGCTTCTGTCTGACATGTTCAGACAGCAACCAAAAAAACCTGAAACCCTGAGTTTCCCACTTCCACCCCTGCTAATACAACCACTGATTGGAAAAGATAAAACACTGGAACAAGCCCCTTTTAGACCACTTAGATTTATAAAAGTCAGAAACAGACACTGTGGAGATAAATTTTCTTTCCCTGCAGAAGAAGACTGAAGTATGGAGCACTGGACAGCTCTCAGCCTGACACTTATTTGGTTTTTAGCTCTTTGCGATGGCGCTCCCACGACAGCATCACCAGAAGACCATCAAATAGCAGAGGTCAGTACCCACAATTAAAGAAATAATTGGATTATCTATTTACGAACTTGTGCACTTTTATCTAACACACATCTAACTTTGTGATATGAAACTATGATATTTATCTGCACTGTTTCAGTGTAAAATCAGTATACAGTATATTCCTTCCTCTTTCTTCCCAGGCTTATCTGTCGCAGTTCTACAGGGACAAGAACGCAACTACATCCAGAGGCAGAATGACGTTCCTCCCAAATCTAGAAAATGAACTGAAGGCCATGCAGGAGTTTTTTGGACTGGAGGTCACGGGTAAGCTGGACTCGAACACTCTTGAGACGATGAAGCTGCCGCGCTTTGGAGTCACTGATGTGGCCAGATACGGACACTTTCAGGGGAAGCCCAAGTGGAAGCAGAGCGTTGTAACATACAGGTAAGGTGTAGCTCCTTAATTTTGTTCATTGAAATCAACCAATCAGAGTAGACCTTGTCAGACTGAGAAAATATGTTTATTTCTGTGCAAAATGCTACTGTTTAGTATTGAATTTCAGACTACAAACTAATACATATATGCTTTTTTTTTTTCTCGTAGAATAACTGAATATACAGTGGGTACGGAAAGTATTCAGACCCCCTTAAATTTTTCACTCTTTGTTATATTGCAGCCATTTGCTAAAATCATTTAAGGCTGAGCAAGAGAGAGATGGACGCCACCATCACTAACGCTTTCCAGCTCTACAGTGATGTTATTCCACTTGACTTCAAACAGATCTACAACGGCACAGCCGATATCATGATTCTCTTCAAAGCAGAATGTGGGTAGATGTACAGTACCATAAAAAGTTATAGTGGAATAATTACAAATTTCTACATTGTTTTTGAAAGAAGTCTCAAATGCTCACCAAGGCTGCATTTATTTGATCAAAAATACAGTAAACAGTAGTACTGTGAAATATGATTACAATTTAAAATAACTGTTTTTCTATTGTGATATATTTTAAACTTGTGGCAGCAAACCTAAATTTTCAGCATTATTACTCTAGTCTTCAGTGTCACATGATCCTTCAGAAATCATTCTAATATGCTGATTTGCTGCTCTTATTATTATATCAATGCTGAAAATAGTTGTGCTGCTTAATTTATAATTTTGTGGAAAGTGTGATACACTTCCATTTCAAAGATTGGGGTAAATCCTTTTCTCTATTTTTTTTATATAAAAAAAATAATACCTTTAAAAATCAATTAAAAGTGAAAGTAAAAATATTTATAATGGTATACAAGATTTCTATATTAAATAAATGCTGTTAATTTCTTTTCATCAAAGAAACCTTAAAAAATGTATCATGGTTTCCACAAAAATATTAAGCATTATTAATAATTCAGCACTGATAATAATTGAAATAAATTTAAAATGTAATATGTTACAATATTACTGTTTTAGTGTTGTTGTTTTTTTGGTAAAAAAAAAAAAAAGCATCCTTTGTGAGCATAAAATACTTCTTTTAAAAACATTTAAAAAATGTAATTATTCCATAGGCCTATATGTTTCCTTTTAGATCATGGAGATTTTTACCCATTTGATGGGCTTAATGGGGTTCTGGCCCATGCCAACGCACCCGGTCCAGAGCAGGGAGGAGACACACACTTTGACGATGATGAGAGGTGGACGCTAAGATCACGAGGTGAATGCACAAATCACACAGAATCACATGCTTACATATATGTTACCTTGTTATTATTTATTATTTAAAAAATCATAAATCTGCTTTAGATATGAACCTACTTTTGGTGGCGGCTCATGAATGCGGACATGCACTGGGACTAGAGCACTCCAAAGACCCTTTGGCTCTCATGTATCCAACTTACCGATATGTCAACACGAATGGCTATACACTTCCTCGTGATGACCGACTTGGGGTCCAGGCCCTGTACGGTAAATGTTTTTTGTGATAGAGAACACATAGTGCAATATCAATAAAAAAATACAACAGATCATATTGCATGGTCACTGGTGAGCATTATCAACTATTAAAATGTTTTATGTTTTGTGTTATGTTTTAGGAGTTAGAACACCAAAACCAAATCCTGGACTGACCCCACCAGAACCGTGTAAGCGTGACTTAGTATTTGATGCAGCAACCAGCATTCGTCGACAATTGTACTTCTTTAAAAATGGGTAATAATTTATTTATTTTATTTTTTATATTTAATGTAGTTAATCACACACACACACACACACACACACACACACACACACACAC